AATAAACAACAGGAGTTCAACCTGCCACTCATCCTTCACCCAAAAACAATCTTATAATATCAGTTTGTTCAAAAATCATTCCCGCATACACAAAATTCAGGACCATGGACAGAGAAAAATAACTGCTACAGTATTGAAAACCTTTTACTAGCTGTTTTAATTCCTTTAATTCCTTATGGAAGCACATGTTTCGATACAATGGGAAGTCGTGGTCTTTACTAAGAATTCAGACTGACCAGATGTCCATGATAGCATCATGTTGAGAAGCTACTCGAGTAGATCTTATCGGGACTACAGAACAATGACAAAGTCAAGTAGGCTGGCTGGAGTCAGGCCATTAAAGTCGTAGGGAAGCGGCAATTCCAACCGTTGTATTTCCAGATTCTCCCGAGTGGTGCTCGACTTTACACGATTGAAAAAAGTGAATGTGATTGGTTGTTTATCAAGAGGGCGGGATTGTTGTGGCGGAAGGTTAGCAAGCAAGTTCGGTTGTGGCCAGTGTCTTGGAAGCATCTTGCTAACCAGTTAGCAACTTAGTGCTAGCAGGTTCCCAATGGGAAATTCCATTGGGACCAAGTAGCACTAAATTGGTGACTTAGAAACGACGCTGTCAAGGAACGCTATGGACAGAGGAAACATGCAAGAGGAGGAGAGTTTAGTGTCGGAGGTCGTGGATGAGTCTCCTCCGTTGTTTTTTCTAGTAACTAGCTCTAGTTAATTTAGAAATAAACTTTAAATGTGTTTCTGATGTATATTTGAAAACGGGGAGCAAAATAAGAATCACAACAATTAAAAAATAATTATAAAATATAACAATTACTCCTCTTATTGATTCATATAAATTGTATTTGATTCATTACATACTGTATTTAAACATGTATTATTTCTAGTAGTTTGTATCACTGTCAGCCTGCTTTCAGGAATGTTATCTTAAACCTTTTCTAGGGATAAAAAGTAAAAATATATATATATATGGAGCACATAAAGAGGATAGAGAAGATGAAAATAAAAGAACATGCAGCATCAAAGAAGGTCCGTCAGTGATCCATTTTTCCTTGTTTGCCCATAATTGCTTTCACTGTGGTTTCGAGGAGTCCTAAAACCTTAGAAATTACTGTTACCCTTTGTATAAAATATGCAAACAAATGTGTATTTTCTTTAAATTTCTATAAATTGGATGTGCTGCAGTTTAAGATAGTTTAGCCTACTTCATGTTGCCAGCACTGTAGCTGTTTTTATTTGTTAAACTGTCAGATAAATCCAGATAAATGACAGTTTGTTGCTAAGTAATAGTGACTGCGTTTCAGCCGGTGTGCGTCAGCCTTACCTGTGGCCATCTTCCCATCAGCTGCGGCAGGTCCATCGGGAATAACGCTTTTAACCTGGAGGAACTCATCGGGCTCATCCCCTCCGATGATGGTGAAGCCGAATCCCATGTTGCTCTTTTGGAGTGACGTGGACAGGAAGCTGCCTTTCAGCTGAGTCGGATCTCTGGTGAACAGCGGTTTTTCTAAAAGAAAAGAAAAAAAAAAAGTTTAAATATATACTCCTCAGTTAAATCCATTTTTTATTGTTGTTTCTTTTTTAATGAATCCCTTAAGTGTCTTTAAAGGATGAGCAGGCTGGCGCTCAGAGGGTGGAGACATATGGGAGAGCCTGTCTGCTGAAAAAGGACGGAGCTGCAGGGGAAAGTGGCAGGGCAGGATTTTAAGAGCCAAACAGCATAACTGCAGACAGGTCGGGCTGTGGGACCAACAGATGCAGGCGAGGTTCAGCAACTCTTACTCTTGTGTAGGGTACAGATGCAAAATCCACCCAAACATCATCGGCATCTAACTCTTTTCCTCCAAAGCTGAATGACGGAGCAGAGGGCGTGCAGAGTGCAGCGGGGTGCAGTTCACGGATCCAATCCCAAGCAGCAAAAAATCAGCAGAAAACATGCTCTCAGCAGGGGATCAGTTCCACAGGAAGATGCTCTGGGAGTTTTAGGGAGAAACTGGGAGATTTTTATTTTATTTTATAGAGGGTACGGAGAGCTGGGGAATTTCTAAAGGAGCGCCTTGAGTGGTAATGAGAGGATCTCAGCCAACAAGATTAGTCACACTAAAGCAAGTCCCACATTCTTCCACCTCGGAGACGAGATGTGGCCAACATGAGAGTTTACATCCTTTGTTTGTCGTCACCGGTCTGGATTTAGACTGAGTGATTACCCTCTCTGGGTTTGCTTATGCAAGGAGATAAAACAAGCAATAGTGCACAGTCATTGCACAAATCCCTGATTTGCCTCAAGGGAGAAGCTTTGCATGCGTACAGTAAGTCACGAGCGCAGGCAGCCATGAGAACCACAGTTAGCCTCCTTTTTTTTTTCCTCCTCGGCCTACTTACTGACAATGTGCCACAGGGAAAAGGGGCTGCATAGCGGCTGCTCGAGCAGCACAGTGCAGGTGGAGGCATGAAGGGGCTGAGGATGCCGCTGCCCATGAGGGCACGTGGTCATCCGGCGAGTCAAAACGCTCCGGAGCGGGGAAACGTCGGCTGAGGAGGAGGCGGCGTACGAAGGAGCCTTGCGGCCGGTTGTCGGGGAGCGGGAGAGGTCACCAAGGCTGTGGCAGCGCTCAGGCACCAGGCCGATTTGGGCGCGAAGGCGTCTGGGGAGGGTGGCGCTGGGCGCGGCATCCTCCACTGGTGTTAAAAGTGTGAGAAAGAAGGAAGAGCAGGGAGGAAGTAAAGAGGGGAGACGAGGAGAGAGAGCCTCACTGGATGGGACACACAGGGTTAACGATGGTGGGTTCCTCACTTGGAGGGGAGTGGGACTAGAGAAACAAACCTCCGCTTCCACAGTCCAGACAGACTCTTTCACAGCAGCACATCCCGCCGCTGGGAGGTGATGGGAGGTGAGAATGGTAAACTGGACATTAAACAAAACCAGCCAACAGGTTTACTTGGATACAACCAAATGATTTCACTTCAAGCAAGAATATTGACCTTATCTAACTAACAAAAGGTTCCCAACTTCTTTATAATTTCATAACTAATAAAAAGGAATCACATTATTTCTCAGGATGGAGACTTTTTCTTTGTTCTTTTTGCAGAACGCACATTTTCGACGCAGTTTAAAATCAAGAATCAGGCAAACAAACATGCATGATACATGTTCATATCAGCGAGCATCACACACAGTGGCGGTTCTAGACCAAATGCACCAGGGGGCCAGGAGGGGGCCAGCGTTGTTTTCAAGGGGGCCCAGAAAAGTGTGAAAAAAAAAAAAAAAACAGGGCAAGGGATTCAAATAAATTAAGAGAGCTGCATAAAGTAACATTTCCATTCAATTAGGTTTAATTAAAACTCTATTTCTTATTAGGTCAATATACATTCAGGATTTCAAGATTTTACATATTTTTCACATAATTTAAGTTCAAATTACCGTTTTTTGTTTTTTTTTTATAAAATCTGAATTAGAACTCAAGAAAAGTTGATCAATTCACCTGTAGAAAGTAGAGCATTACAAAAAAAAAACATTTAGTAGATAAAACTGGGATCCTATCTCAATATCACTCAAGCCTTATTATAACCTTATTGTTTTTGAAATATTAGTAAAACAGAATTTGTAAAGAAAAAAAATAAGTAACAACGTATTACTGTATGTCTTCAGTGCAGGGGCCATAAAAGGGGCCAGGAGAAGAGCTACAGGGGCACTGGCCCCCGTTGGCCCCTGTCTAGAACCGCCCATGATCACACTGCTGCAACCATTGTAAGAGATAAAACTGCTGCTGTGAGGAAAGTCATATGGTAATACACGACAAAAAGGTCAAAACCCCCAAAAAATACAAGCATGGGAAACTAAGTTTTTAAGACGCAGAGTTTTAAATAAACATTTCCAGTTTAATTTAATCAAAATGCTTTTCATTTGCCAAACAACAGAAAAAAATTTGAAAAAGGTAAAGGAACTTTGGTACATTTCCTCATATTTTGGCAGAACTAGAGGATAACAGGGTTATACATTTTGCGTATCCTCTTAATATTAAAACTATATTAAATAAATAAATAAATTATAGTACTGGAATTTTAGCCTTTTTCTTAAAAGAAGCCTTTTCAGAACGACTCTAAAACATAGATTTGTTATTTTTAGCACCTTTTGTAAAGGATTCATTTGGTGGTAAGTTTAGGACTATTAGCCAACTGGATGATAGCTTGAACTTCCCTGTTGACGTATTTAGTTGCTGCTTTAAAATGTTCATGTAATGCTCTTTGCATGGATGTAATCTGGATTCTGACCTGCACCAATCTAACCTGCACCAAACCTCCATCCATCAGCTTCA